GAATGGGACGGAGGGAGTATATTATTATTAAAATGATTTGATTTGAAAACAGATTTAATAAACCATATTACTTGTAGAAATGAGAACGGCACTGTAGGCAGACTGTGGAATAATGCCATTCCATGTCGACCGTCCCATAGTGGCAATTTGTTCAACCGAGTAATCCTTAGATATAATCTTGGCACATTTTTGTTGTGACTTGTGACGCACAAACTAATTAAATAAATACCGACTTTCCAATCTTTCTTTATCTTTTATTTTTGTTTTTTGTCGTCCCCCCACACTTCTTTTCATCCTCAAAACGAATGTCATCTAATTGGATTAATTACAAATTAGTACGCAGTATATATGTAGGAATACACAACGGCCCATTAACATTCTCTCTGTCCCACTATTGATTGCAATTTTTTCTTTCATCTCGATAATTTTTATTTATTTATGTATTTTGATTCAGTATTTAATAAAATAAAATATTTTTGTCACTTCTTATATTTTGATGTAGTTTTTAAGTATATAAGTTTTATTTTTTATTCTTATATCAATTCTAAAATAAAATAATTTTTAAAAATATGGGTTTTGTCTCGTAATTGAAGTCAAAATTGAAACGAATGGAGTACTATACAATTAAATAAATATACTCCAATACCCCCATCAATTTGGAGCATATAACAATGTAATGAATATATATCCAACTTGGACAAAAGAGACTGAAATATGGAACCTGCAGACATGCATCCCCTTAGTGAATATGTCAGCAATATGCAGACGTGCATGAATATGTGTAGTAACATTATGCTGACACTTAACACACTTTCGAACAATGTGACAGTGGATGTCAAATTCTTGAAACGCTCATGAAAAAATGGGTTAGCCATAAAAAGCTTAGGGATAGAAACATGTGGTACCAGTGGTACCACCAATGCGGCTAAGGGCTTGTTATCTTCATTATTTGACCTGATTGGTTTCTAATTATCTGATTGAATAGATTCTAATCTACCCTGATATAGTCTGATCTGATTTTAGTTATACCTACAAGTTGTTTCTGATCTGATTTCAATAAGAATAAGTAATAAATAATAAGAATAAGTTGAAGAAAACTAGGTCTAACAAGCCTCGTATCAAACATACTTCAGAAAAAGTATTAGTCATGGCCTGGTATTCGGGTTTAGCAGAATAACGACAAACAATTGTTTGCTTCTTCTTTCGCTATGAGATGGTAGACTTACCCAACATGATAATATAACCAATGATAGACCAATGCGTGAGAGGACAACCTACCCAATCTGAGTTTGAGTGGCCGTGAGGTGAGGCCACGGTGAGATCACTATAGCTTCTTAAAAGAATTTCATGACCCGATTGTCCCTTGAGATAACGAATTACGCGCATAGCAGCATTAAGATGATCCAAACGAGGTGCTTGTATACATAAACTGTGAAAAATCATCCATTGAAAATGAAACATCTCGACGACTAATAGTCTAATACAATAGACGCCTTACAATCTGATGATACTTTGTTGAATACCTAATCTCTACACTAGTAGAACAAAAGTGTTATGACCAGGCTAAATGGGAATTACAACTAGCTTACTACTAGACATACCTCTTTCTTGAATACTAAGAAATATCCAGAGCATATTTCCTCTTGTTCAACGCCATACCTTTGTTGGATCTAGCACATTTGATCCTTAAAAAAATAAGAAACACAACCAAGATCTTTTGAGTTAAAAAATCATGTAGATATTTTTTGAACGAGACACACAAAGCTCCCTTATTTCCTAAAACTAGAATATCATTTACGCACACTACGAAACAAATATATCTAGATCACGATGTTAAACAATTTGTGATCGACATGTGCATGTTGAAAATCGTACATGTGCAAAGCATCAATCAGCTTTGCGAACCAATTCTTCGGAGACTAATATAGGCTAGGCCACAAAGAGACTTACATGGACAACAAACTTTCCCGTGATATGTTATATACCAGGAAGGCAACTTCATATATACTTTCTTCTTAAGTTGACCATGAAAGAACGCATTGTTGACGTCTAAGTAATTAACTTTTCACTTCCTGAAAACAATAATAGATATCAAAACACTAGCTGTGACCAGCTTGGCCACTAGAGCAAAGCTTTAAGTATAATAAGTGTCTAACTCTTGATGATTCCCCAATACAATCATTCTCGCATTATCACACTCTTTAATATCATCCGAGTTGATCTTAGTCTTTTAAACCCTTTGCCAACCCAGCGCTCGACGATTGGGAGATTTAATAAGTGATCTCACATGTATGATTTTTCTCCAAGAAGAGGATTTCCTATGTCATTGCCTTGCGCCAAGAGGCAAACTGAACGGATTCCCAAAAATCCATTGGTACACTATTTGAGCTAACATTTGCCATAAAACCTTTGTACTTGTCATGTAATTTGTCGTAGTAAACAGAATTAGTAATAAGGAACTACATACCTGAAAATGGAGATGGAGTGTGACGTACCTAAAGATGGAGATTGGTGAGAGACTGTTTATCTCATTAATCGGACTCCTTATAAATTATTAATAGGTGGGTCCCCTCTCAAAATTTGATCATCTAAAATCCCTATTTTGTGTTATTTTTGAGTTTTTTGGTTGTTTGTGTTATGTTTCTTATGTTCCGAGACCCCTATTAAATTTGCACTTCGAAGAATAAGATGCATGTTTGTGAGATATTCCTACAGTATAAAAGGATAACGAGTTTATAATTTTGAAAGTCATTATTGTTTTTTCACACTAAACATATCTCCTTTGTTGAGTCACAATTTTCGTTTGTTGTTCCCGCCACAAAACCTATCACTATGCCTTTGTGTTGTCCTTCCCCACCCAAATTTTTGGGCCAATGACGCTGGATTCACCACGTCTATACTTTTGTTGTTCCCACCACAAAACCTATCACTTTAAAAATGTATGCTGACCTTTTTTGTCAATGTAAACCATCACAATGGTTTTATATTAGTAAAAAATGTCAGTAAATACCTTTGAAAAATAAAATAAGGTACAAATTTTGATATACAAATAGCTAAACCAAAAAAGTATTGCAAAATAATGTTGTGCCAAGGCAACTGTCAACTCGTGATCAACGATGACGATACAATATTATTCTCCACTAAGTATGTATTGTATTTAATTTAAGGTATCGAATAGCAATTGGAGTATTAATTTGTAATTCAATCGCATATATATTCTCTTTCTTTCCTAATAGTGGTCATATTTTGAATCCTTGAGTCAATTTGTATAAAATTTTACCATGATTTTGCACTAAAAGTGCATTCAAATATTTATTGTGACATTCAGCGTTTTTTTATTAGAATTTATATTATAATTTTCCTAAATTGAGATTTTAAATGTCAGATTATAGTTTCTAGCTAGATTTTAATTAAAAAATTGTACTCTCTACATCCCGAAAAAGGTTGCAATTTTTTTATCTCTCTACTCGATAATTTTTGTTTATTTGTATATTTTCATAAATTATTTGATGAAATAAAATATTTTTGGTACTTCTCATTTTGTAGAATTTTTGACATTGTATTTTAATATTTAATTTTTATTTTATATTGATATACTCCCTCCGTCCCAAATTATTTGTCACATTTCTATTACCGAGGCAAAATATCAAATTTTTTCAATTCATTTTATTTACATATTGGTAAAGAAATAAAAAATAAAAATTACATATCAAAAAAGTACATGAAAAGTTCTTCAAAATAAGAGGTGTCAAGAATATTTTATTTTATCAAATAACCAATGAAAACGTAGAAATAAACAAAAGTTCCCGCGACTGTTGAAAAAGCAAATGTGACAAATAATTTGGGACGGAGGGAGTACCAATTTGCAAATAAAATAATTTCAAAAGACGAAAGATATATATTACCTCGTAATTTCCAATTTATAATCAAATTAAGAACGGAGTGAGTATTAGTTATATTAAGAACTTTCAGAATATATGTTAGAGATCTCAATGTTCAGTTTTCAATTAAAATAAAAACGAAAAGAACATGCTCATATATATATATATATATATATATATATATATATATATAGCTCATTTGAAATGCGGCAAATTCTAGATTTAAGGTCCGTCATAGATCTATATATGAGCTAAATAAGCATTTCACTACTTAAATAAGCATTCATTTTTTTGAACAAAAAAAATAAAAAATAAATTTTCTTATATGAGAAGCTCCACAAATATAATATATATCAAATGTGCACCAAAGAAGCACCCTTCCAATGTAATTCTAGATAATAGAAAAAAAGACTAAAGTAGGAGTAAAGTATTTAAAATATACTAAAAGTCTATGTTTTTAATTATGAGTTAAAATATATTTACTTACCAAACATGATTAAGTACATTATCAAAAATGCCTATATAAGTTATAAAGGTTCACTAAAAATTCTTATTTAGGGTGACATCTTCACATAATAAATAAAGTATTTGCAATATTTATTATATTTATTCAAAGTACAACTATTATAAAATTTCACTTTATGTAACCTTTTCAATAGTGGTTGGAGTTATAATTACTCGTTAAAATTGTGAAATCAAAAGTGTGGCCACTGTTACTATGACACTAGTAAGTTAAAGCAAAAAAAAAAAACAATAATGCTCCATAACAAAAAAGAAGGTTTTATTTAAAAAAAATAATAAAAAAAGAATTAATTTTAATCCATAAACAAGTAAATGGGGGCAATGATAAGACCCGAGAAAGAATATGAACACACACACTATAGGCAAAAAAAGAAATTAAAAAAAAATGAAAAATGGGAGAAATGAAAAGGAACGACGGAGGTCGGTTCCTTGCACCTAACGTATCTTCCGGTTCGGGCTCGGAGCTAGGTTCGGGAATTCATATGAGTGCCCTCCCGAAAGGATAAGAACGACCCGAATTCCCCGTTTTGCCCTCACCCGCCTCCCCCAATCGCAAACTCGCAGCAATACAAGTAGCTCCCATCTTCTCACCGCCTCCAAAACTTTCCAAACCCTTCTCTCTCTCTCTCTTTTCTTTCTTCCCCTCCCTTTTTTTTTCTCTTTTTTATCATTCAACATTTTGCAAAAGAATCCTTTCAAGCTGGCGATCGAGAATCAAGAAACCACCGTCCGGGAATTCAAGCCCAAGAACCGGCGAATCATGGTGATGACCATTCTCCGCTTACCCATTACCCCCATTCTCTCTTTTCTTCTGTGTTTTTCTTTCTGGGTTTTAATTTTTCTTCTTCTGACTTTTGGTTTTCTTGGATTCTTCGTTTTTCAGGGAGCCGGAGGGCCAGAGGACGAAGACAACAGGTGGCCGCCATGGCTGAAACCTCTGCTGAAGGAGAGATTCTTCGTCCAATGCAAGCAACACGCCGATTCTCACAAGAGCGAATGTAACATGTACTGCTTGGATTGCACTAATGGCGCCCTCTGCTCTCTCTGTTTATCCCACCACAAAGACCACAGAGCCATTCAGGTCCCTTCTTTGAATCAAAGTTTCGATTTTTTTTCTCATCTGGCGTTGACTTTGGATTGAAGTTGAAACTGGGTTTCTTGTTTTGGTTTGTTTTTTCAGATTAGGAGGTCTTCGTACCACGATGTGATCAGAGTGAATGAGATTACAAAGTATTTGGACATCTCCTCTGTCCAGACTTACATTATCAACAGTGCCAAAGTCGTCTTCTTGAATGAACGCCCGCAGCCCAGGCCCGGTAAAGGCGTCACCAATACCTGCGAAGTTTGCGAGCGCAGCCTCCTCGATTCTTTCTGCTTCTGTTCTCTGGGCTGCAAGGTAATTTCACCCCGCATTCCCCGTCAATTTCATCTCTCTAATCTGGGAAAAAAATGCGATCTTTGATTGGGATTTGAATTTCTTGATTTATCTGAGATTTTACAGGACATTGATTTGGATTTTGATTTTACAGATTGTTGGAACATCCAAGAACTTCGTGAGAAGGCCGGAGAAGAAGAGGGCGGCGGCGGCGGCGGGGGGCTCGGATTCGGAGGAGTCGTACAGCAGCAGCAGCCGTGGCAGGGCGGCGGCGCAGCAGGGGAGCAGAATACAGAGCTTCAGTCCATCGACGCCACCGCAAACTTCTGTTAATTACAGAACTGCCAAGAGAAGAAAGGGTATTCCGCACAGGGCCCCGATGGGAGTGCTGATAATTGAGTACTGAGATTTGCTCATCGCCCCTTGATATCCCTCATAATTATGCGAAACCCCCCTACATTATACTGTTTTCTAGTTTTTTACCCCGACACTAGTGCTTTTTGTTCACCCCGAAGGCCAGTGTTAAATATGCCTTCTTCTTCCATCTATAGCCGCCGTATATGTTTGTAGATATAGTAGAAGCCGCCGCCGCCGCTAATAGTAATATGTGGAAAATGCAGGGAGCAGAAATGGAAATAAAGCATTGTGCAAGGACCTATGTCTAAATACTCTATAGGTACAACTTTGGGCTATGAAAATAAATAAAGCATATATATCTAATGTACAAATATAGCTTGAATGTGAAATGTCAGTTATGACCTTCTAGAGTGTTTATACATATAAAGTTTTAGTAATTTCTTTATAATAANAGCCGCCGTATATGTTTGTAGATATAGTAGAAGCCGCCGCCGCCGCTAATAGTAATATGTGGAAAATGCAGGGAGCAGAAATGGAAATAAAGCATTGTGCAAGGACCTATGTCTAAATACTCTATAGGTACAACTTTGGGCTATGAAAATAAATAAAGCATATATATCTAATGTACAAATATAGCTTGAATGTGAAATGTCAGTTATGACCTTCTAGAGTGTTTATACATATAAAGTTTTAGTAATTTCTTTATAATAAAAAAATACGAAAATGTTTATATACATATTCATATTCCCTTGGTGTTTATATGTGGCTGGCATTGGTTTTCCTCTTTGGGCTTTAGATTTTCCGGTATTGCTACTTTGGTCCTTACATTTGCACCAAATTAGGGAAGATGCTTAATTTGGGGGGGTCTTGATCTTTTGCTATATTTAAATCGAAACGTTCAATGCACATAGGGTGAGATTAGGCAAGCAAAAACTCATATTTGGTGATTTTGAGGGACCATTTAATTTATTTCTTTTTTGTCCTTGTTTTTTGTGTTCTTTTGTTTTGTGTTTTACATTCCCCCTTATCATACTCCCTCCGTCCCCCTGTATTTGTTCACTTTCATTTTTACACACCATCCAATGCACTTTTTTAATCCATTTTATTTTGTAATTTGTATATTAAAAAATTATAAAAATTATATATTAATAATCTATATGTTAAGATGAATCAAATAAGATCACACATGACTATATTTAGGCTTACACATTGAGAAAATTTGATGAGTCAAAGTGCTTTGATGAACAGTTACAAAAGTCAAATGTGGACAAACACAGGGGGACGGAGGGAGTATGTTCACACACCCCTAGGATGGATGGATATATATATCTACTCACGTGTAAAAATAATTTCCCCATTTACCAATTTTACCTTTTTGGATCATTCAAAAAAAATATTTTTTTTACTTGTTTCACTATATTTTTAGCGTTTAAGTTTAATGTTTTTTAAAGATTATTTAATTATGAATTTTAGCTTCAAGTTTTAAGTGTTACTTTGTACATCAAGTTAATATAAATACACACAGATACAAAATATATGTGCTGCATAAATATTTTGTATTTGTGTGTGTCTGTGTTAGTTTGATGTACAAATAAAATATCTATGTTGGTGAACCCTGGCACTTTATATTATAAAAAAAAGTTCAGAATGCTAACTAGAAACCAGGGCCGGCCCCGAAGTGCGCCTGCTGCCTTCCTTGGATGTGGTAGCCGTTTCTCAGGCTCCCTCTCCGGAATCGAACCCTAATTCTCCGTCACCCGTCACCACCATGGTAGGCCACTATCCTACCATCGAAAGTTGATAGGGCAGAAATTTGAATGATGCGTCGCCAGCACTATGGCCTTGCGATCCGTCAAGTTATCACGAATCATCGTAAAAGCGGGAAAAACCCGCATTGGCCTTTTATCTAATAAATGCATCCCTTCCAAGAGTTAGGACTTGTTGCACGTATTAGCTCTAGATTTACTGCGGTTAACCGAGTAGTAGGTATCATCAAACAAACTATTACTGATTTAATGAGCCATTCGCAGTTTCACAGTCTGAATTTGTTCATACTTACACATGCATGGCTTAACCTTTGAGACAAGCATATGACTACTGGCAGGATCAACCAGGTATCATTCTTCAATGCCCTCAATGCACCTTGACACGCCAAAACCGAAAGCGAACTCAACACATCATAGGCGGTCATACGGAGGGAAACACAATCACAGAAGTGAAGGTGAAGCCAATAATGAATAGGGGAACCCTGGGACAAAATATTTAATGGGCAGAGTTGGACTAACAGAGAATTCTTAACCACTGCACGTTAGTGTACCAAACCCGAGTACTCAACAACAACCAATGGGCCAAAACTTTCCAGAAAAAAGCCAACAGATAGTGTACCACAAGCAGTGCCATGGCGTCAATCGAATGCCAACCCTTTGTTCCCACACGAGTAGGCACACGACAGAACTCAGCAGTTAAAACGTAAGGATGCCACCGAAAGGGTACAGAACAAAGGAAACCATTGCATACAAAGGCGGAGCCCACCATATTGAAAAGGCCTTCACGGCAAGTTTTCGCTGCTACAGCAAGGATCAAACCTGACCATGAAAACCAAATACATCTCACACACAATTACGCATCGCAAATTTCATACACACCGCACAACCCACCAACAGACCAAAGGCCAAGTTTTTAACTCAGCAGTCAGCCCACCAGCGAATACCTGGTGCCCATGACAGTGAAAAAATAAAATTGGCATGGTCCTAAATTTACATTTTTGGCCCTATTTTTTTAGAATACTTTTTCTTTAAAATTATTAAGAAATTTAAAAATATGAGGCCCTAAAAATTTAGGGGCCCTGTGCGATTGGCCACTTTACACATTCTCCGAGCCACCCATGCTAGAAACAATTGGTCTCATGTGTATATCAGTATATGTCTATATATAATGAAGGTGCAGCCAACTTGGATAAAAGAAATTAGGGGTAAGATAACATTTTTCAAAAGCTAAAAAAGATGCTTACCTACCCTCTTTTCAACTTATACTTTTCAAATTTATTTTCTACTACAATAATGGATTTCGCGTTGTTCTTTTAACGCATTGCTCCGTACAATCTTTGTATTTATTCTTATTTTTATTAAGATTAGAACAAACTAAGAATATTGTATTTGTAATACTTCCTTTATTTCTAAAAGATTATCACTGTAATATTCTTTGATAGTGAATGAAATATAATTTAAAATAATTATATTTAATGAAAATTTGATAATTTAAAAAAAAATTCAATTTTAATGAATTTACATTATAAGTAAATATTTTTTTTCATAATTCATGATTAAATAGTGCGATAGTTTAACCAAAAAAGTTAAATTTTGTCAACATTTTATGAACCAAGGGAGCATTTAGACCAGAGTAGATGTCACGGTATATAGTACTCAAAAAAAACTCCTTATTTTTTGGGTAGCTTCTAAAAGAAGTCTCTTCTTTCCTTTTGTAAAAAGGATTTTAAGTATTCACAATCTTTCTCTCTCTTCAAAAACACTTTCAATCATACATTTTTATTTTTTTAAAAATTTGTGCCTAAGTCAAATTGAGAATTTTTTTAGTACTTTAATATATTCCATTACTTCCTCTGGATTTAATTTTTTTTATAACACTTTGAACAATAATAACGATATTCATACATAGATATATTTTATAAAATTTTAATAATTTAAAACTATGTTCCATTAGAAAATTATTAATATCACATTTAGGGGCTGTTTGTTTCAGCCTCTTAATGGTTCAGATGTCTGAATGGTTCAGCACTTAATGGTTCAAACTGTTTGTTTCAGCCTCTTAATAGTTCAGATGTCTGAATGGTTAAGAGATTTGCCTTTGAATGGTTAAGTATTATACAGAGTCTGAATGGTTAAGACCTCTTATCTGAATTGATAAGACATTTGCCTCTGAATAGTTAAGCAATATACTAGCTCTTAATGGTTCAGACCTCTTACTGGTTCAACACTTAATAATTCAGACCTCTTACTAGTTCAGCACTTACCCATTCAGAAGTTGCCAAACAGCCCCTTATGCTGTCGAAACACAATTTATATTTTCTACATATCGAGATCAAAATGTAAAAAAATTAAATGAGAAATTAATTCTTCACTCTCCAAATCAAACATAGAAAAAATTACTCCGTAAATGAAAAAAATGACTCCACAATAATATAATAGAAAAAAATAAAATAAGAAATGTAATAAAATAGGAATATTAACAAACAAAATTCATACCAATAAGAAAATAAATTCACGTCAATTTTAGAGGATTACCAATGAATTAAAATACTCCCTTCGTCCCAAATTATTTGCAACATTTCGAACGACGTGCAAAATATCATTTCTTTTAAAATCATTATACTCCCTCCGTCCCAAATTATTTACAACATTTGTATTCCCGAGGCAAAATATCAAATTTTTTCAATTCATTTTATTTACATATTAGTATAAAAATAAAAAATAAAATTTACATATAAAAAAACTACATGAAAAGTTCTTCGAAATAAGAGGTGTCAAGAATATTTTATTTTATCAAATAACCAATGAAAACATCGAAATAAACAAAAATTTCCGCGACTGCTGAAAAAGCAAATGTTGTGAATATTTAGGGACGGAGGAAGTATTTTCAAATTGGTAGAATAATAAAAAGTAAAAATTACACCATTCAAAAGTACATGAAAAATTCTACAAAATAAGATGCGACAAGAATATTTTATTTTATCAAATGGTTAACCAACACGAATAAACAGACAAAAGTTATCGAAAGACCAAAATAGTAACCGTGACATTCTTTCTGGGCCGGGGAGTAAGAAAAGTGAGGTTAAAAGAGATGGATGGCAAGTGGGTTATATATATATGTAAAGATTCCCCAATGAGCACCCACCCAACTTAGACGGTGTGTGGAGATGAAAAGTCGTGTATTGCGATTGGGTTTGGAGTGGGCGTGTGTGTTTCGTGACGATGGCCCCGGACTTCTCCAACTTTCCAGGCCTTTGCTCCTTTGTTAAAAAAAACATTAAATAACATCAAGGTTAGGTTAGCCCCAATCCTAAGCTCTCACTTGTCTTTTGATTATGAATTATTTGACTAATGAGTACAAATTTCATAAATCATTCTCAATTATAAGATATTTCATAAATAGCCTTTTATTTTTGAAAATTATTCACAAATAAGGAGTAGTTTCTTTCAATGAATATAACAATTTTTAGTAAATTCTTAAAATAGTCCTTTCTATTAAAGTTTTTTCTCAAAGTACTCCGTAATTCACAATAACCAAAATTACTTACATGGTCATTTATAATTGAGGTGTGTTTTCTAAATAATTTTTTTAAAAAATGCCTATTAAATAACAATTAAATAGACTGTATTTTGATGATCTTTATTATTTAAACTATAAATAAGTCATCAAAAAGATTTTTTTTAAATTAAATATGAGGCTACTAGAAGAAAGAACCACCTCAAGTTGACAAAATAAAATATTCTTGACACTTCTTGTTTTGTAGAACTTTTGACGTAATTTTTTAATATGTAATTTTTATTTTTTTCGATATATCAATTTGTAAATAAAATAATTTCAAAAAGTGAGATATTTCTCCTCGTAAACTCCAATTTGTAATCAAATTGATAACGAAGAGAGTATTATAATATTTTCTCTATATTTTTACTATATTTATTCTATATTTATGATGATTTGTCTTTTATCAAATGTCGACCTTGGTAAAAAAACAAAGAAACCACGTGTGGCCCCATTCATACCAACACCTCAGAATAATTATACTCTGTATTACTCATTGTAGTCACTTTTGTCACTAGCCAAATTTTAAACATTTCAGTAGCCAAACAATGGGATAATCCACCATTCAAAAACACTACGAGAACATTTGGTTATTTATATACTTTTATTGATTATTTGATAGAATAAAATATTTTTATCACTTGTTTTGAATAATTTTTGTTGTAGTTTTTAAATATTTAAATTTTATTTTTATTTCTGTACAAATCATTAAATAAAATGAATTAAAAAATTTAAAACTTTACTTCGTTTTGTGTAATGTGACAAGCATTTAGAGACGGAGGGAGAACACTTTTGTGAGAATTATTAACTCGATTATTCCTTCATCCACAAATTTCTTTTGCATTTTGGCCTCACATGCTTATTAAAAAAAAGTTTAAAAATTGTAAAAATATTCATGTTCGTCTTTTATGATGTAATATGATAAAGTGAATAGTATAAATAAAAATATATGTGTAATGACACATTCATTAAGAAATTGTCAAAATAGAAAATGAGAAAAAAGTTATGGACGGTGCAAAAAGATAAGTGCGAACGAAATTAATAAACATATGGAGTACAATATAAGATATGTTCATACATATTTTTTCAATTTATTGAAACACTCAAAGTTCACATGGTTAACCCGAGTGCTGCACTTACTCTTTAAATTAAACTTTAGTATGTAAAAAGAATATGAACAAATAATACATTCTAATTAAACTCACTCCGTATTACTTATAACTGTTAAAAAACAACAATTACAAAGAATCCTAGTCCGTAAACTTTAAAGTAACAACAAATTTATAGAGTATATGGTGTGCAATATTAATCTCTTCCGGATTATATGATGTCATATACTCGGTAGTTAGTTAAGTCCACTTGTGATCCAAGCATTTCTCTTAAAAGAAACACCCATTATCCATTTCATCAATCTAACAAAATGTTAAAAATTTAAAATATTTCTTATTTTCATATTACAAATTCTATACTTTAATTAAATAAAACATTTACACATATATTCCACACGGAGAATTGGACCGCTAGAAATAAACATCTAGATAAATACTTTAATAAATGAGGTGGACTAAAATTGCTCTGGTATCGTCATAGAATCTAGAATGGTGAAAGGATTACTGGACTAGACCATAAGACACTTGAGCTGAACTAAATTGAAAGATTGAATTTAATGAATTACTTAATTCAATTCAAAAACTTATATATCGATTTATTTTTTCTTTTAAGTTTTGATATGAGGTACGTACTCTTTAACATAAATAAACTAGAGATACGAAACCCTTCAATAATATGAGCATCGAAGCTCAATCATTAAAAAAGATAAAGTTCAATAAAATTAAAATGGCTACCATGAAATACTTGAAATTTCCTCCCCCCCCCCAAAAAAAAGGAAAGAAAAGGAAATAAGAACTGGAATGAATTAATTAACCAACCATTATAATCCGATTAAAAACAATGTGAGTGGGTGGTCTTTATAAGCAGCATTATTATTCATTAGAGATTTAAAAATCAAATTACTGCATGATTGATAGATTAATTGTTTTATAAAGTCTTTGAATATATGTGGTGGCAGTCATGATGCCACGTGTCAAGACGTGTAAACGTTAGTGTGTACCCACGCATCACTCCAACTAGTATCCAAAGAGAGTGTAGCATTCCACGTAGCTACTGCCCACCTCTGCGTTCTAGAAAGACATTGCGCCCTCTCCGTCATTGTCTGACCGGGTCTTAGGGGGCCCTCGAGAATAAGACGCATCCTTTTTTAGAAAGACATTGTGGCTTCTTCCCATGGTATTATACTCTTGTCAGCCCTAAAAACTCTTTATATTTTGAATTTTTTAAAATTAAATAGTGAGTATATATATTTATTGATTATAATATAAATTTAATATAATTAAGTTCATTTTAAGATGTACTACCCCTTTCCCTGGATACTTGTCCAATGATTCTCGATTCCTCATTATTGAGTACTCCGTAATTATGAATAATGATTCTCCAATTTTCCAGGTAATACTTCAATGCTAATTAAATTTTTATTTACTCTTTGTATCTAAGAATATTTTACTTTATTATACAATTAATAAAAATATATAAAGAAACAAAATTTATTGAAAGGTAAGTCCTAACAAGTTCCAATTTGAAACGAAGGAAGCAATACTTTCGGGATAGGGGATTCCACCATATTAACATGTCCTATTCTGAACTCATTTTAAATGAATTAAATATTTTTTTAGAGTTTGACTTTTTTCCTAAAAAGTGTATAGGTTTTTATTGTCGTTAAGATACAATTATGCAGAATACATTAAATTGTAATTAAACTATTTTATTATTGGATTCATTTTTAAAGTAGCTTTAGAATTTCTATTAAATTTGCACTCCATTTGTCCCCAAATAAAAGTAACGATTTGACTTCCCAAAATCCGGCTCGACCCAAAGCACCCTTACATCCTCCCAATTACACCTCTTAAATTTTATTGACTTTAGATCAAATTTGACCCCGAAGTCAACAAAATCCACATGGTGCAATCTCAACATTCTGTGTATGACGCTCACTTCCATGCTTAAAAGGTAGATTGAAATTAGAAGATTGAACATATACTACACCGATGGATTTGAAAGCTGCTAAAAAAAGAAGTGAGCTGAGACAAATGTTGTGAATGAAAAAATGAAAAATTTATTTCAGAACAAACAAAAAAGAAAAGTGGGAGACTTTCTAGAATCAAAATTATTTTCGTTCAAAATTCATTTAACTTTTTCCTTGGTGTACATCAAATAACTCCTTTGTCCCAAATTAAGTTAAGTCTTCACTATTCACATTGTCAGATTTTATTTATTGAGTATTTTTTTATTTTCGTTACTCATTTGATAAAATAATATAATCATGTAATCATATATTTCATAGAACTGTTGATGTAGTTTTAAATATGTAAATATTATTCTTTAATATTCATATTAGGCTATGCTTTGTAGTTCGTATACTTCATGCTTTAATTTCTACATGGCATGTATATATACAAATGTTTGGAGTAAAAAAGGGCATACAAGTGATACAATTCCACACAACTACACAAGTTTTAAAGGTCATTACTCATTATTACTAATGTAAGCTAAGTGAAAGGACTAATCATGCTTTTCTATGTACCTCAATTAATGTCCATTGTTTTTTTTAATGTCCGTACTTTTATTGTTTTTTATCTACTTCATTCCCTCCGAATTAATTGTTTAGTTTTATTTTTATTTTATTCCAAAGTAATTATCCTACTTCATTACTTACCTAATAATATAAAATTATTTGGCCTGTAATATTTCTTTTCTTTTAAACACATTTTCATTTTTCGCCTTTTATTTTTCAGTATTTTTCTAAAATTTGGTGAAATCAAACAATGACGATTACTTCAGAACTTAGAGAATATTTAAATTCAATGCAGTTAAAAATGTTTGGAAAGTTTGATCAAAGTGGCCTACATTGTCATCATATCATCATTAATTATACTAATGCAAATTGGGATGACACAACCCTAAGCAGCTAGAGACAAGGGATGGGAGGCCCTTAATTAACCTTAAGTAAATAAGTGGAGTAGCCTATAGCTTTCCAAATGCCCATATTTGGCAAGGGCAAAAATGTACACTGAAAAAAAAAGAGAGAGATGGGTAGTAGACAGCTTTTCAAATTGGGCCAGAGCACAAAAGTTATGTGGTGATCCATCATAGGCCCAAGTACACTGTGGGATCCACCTTAAGAGATAAGCCTTGGAAGTTGGAAATGTGGAGGATAAGATTGATATATATATATATATATATATATATATATATGCATGAGATATTAATGAAGAGAATAGAAAAAACAGTGGGGAGTGTCTATCTAGACAAGTCAAATGTGGGAAGTAGGAAAATGCCAAAAAAAACATTAATCAAGTGTTGTATACTATTACTGCTACTAAATATCATATAATTATATTACATCTCCCACTTAAATTCAGTTCTTATGGTGGGATCATATTGCTTTCAAGACGCAACAATGAGTCACAACATATATTATACAAGTTGCATGGGCGTACCCTTTCGGATCCTTTAAAGCATATTTGTTTGGGCATGGATCAATTTCTACACTCATCACAACTTTAGCTTTATACTTGCACCCGTTCAAAAATAATCATTATTTACATGATGTCCATGCCCATTTGATAAAATGATATTGTCATGTCACATTTAGCTAGTTTTGTAAATTGTTTGATGTATTTTTTAAATGTGTTATTTTTATTTTTTATTCCACACCATTTTTTCATATAAAATGATTTGAAAATAATTTCAGTAGAACATTGTAACACGTATTTTAAAATGATTGAAAATATAAAGTGCACAGTTTATCCACGACTTTTTTGGAAATTGCGCAATTTACCTTTGAACATCAAAAGTGCACCAAATACCTCCGAATTCTTTAGAAATTGCACGATCCACCCATGAACATCAAAAAGTGCACTAAATACCCGTGAACTTTTTTAGAAATTACATTGTTTACCCCTAAACATTTAAATAAAAATGATAATTCTAGGGAAGAGTACTAATTTGGTATTTGGTACACTTTTTAATATTTAGGGGTAAATCATGCAATTGTCAAAGAGTTCGAGGATAAACAGTATACTTTTTAATGCTCAAGGATAAATCATACATTTTTAAAGAGTTTGGGTGTAAATGGTACACTTTTCTTCTTTATAATCCACAAGAGTTTAAAATACTCAAATGTTTCTTGTTGTTGAGGACACAAGTGTAATATATATGAGAAATATGAAGCTAAGACATGACTCCGTATATTATTATCACAAAACTTTCCATTATTTAAAATTATTGAACTATAATGCTAATTCTAATACTTGATGAAAGTTTATACACTATGTTTTTTAATACAGTATTTTCATAATCTGTTAGTCTTTTACGGAGTATTTATCAGATTTTCTTTGAATTTAGAATTAATCCATCTTCAAATGATCGCCTCACTCAACTATTTGCACGTTGAACTTTTTTTCCTTTCTTTACTTAATTTCGTTAATTATTTGTAAAAATAGCATACTCATGCATGTACCCTTTGTTTTGTAGGAAATTTTATGTAGCATTAAATCTATAATTTTTTGGGTAGAATTAAATTTTGTATTGTTATTTAACTAATTAAATTAGATTGACTTTGATATCTGTAAAGATATGTTATTTTTTAATATGCCATGAAAGTACAATTTCTTCAACTCAAATATTGAAATATGCATTCAGATTTAAAAGTAAAGATTGAATAAAAACGAATTTAATTATATTGCGCTACAAGTCTTTGGGAGAATTGAAAGGTGCATGCTTATTAGTTATTTGGCAAACACTAAAATGGTTTACCCATGGATTAGTAAATCCAACAAAATGGCGAAATTATTAATATTCCCCCCTTCACCTTTCAGTGTTTTCCACTTTTTTTTTTCTTATGTGCAATTTTGTAAATACCTTTGATACTTTGACTATTATATGAGAGCCTGGCTACTTTGTTCTTTATTAGCCGCCCCTGTTTAATCTCCTCGTGGAATTGAAAATTTATCAAAAGGACATTGGCTAGAAAATATTTCCCCTCCAACCAAACACTCTTAGTAAACATTTTTTTCCACTAGCTAGTAAACATACAAGTATAGGAGGAATTAACGGAAATAGTACTAAAATATATTATTTTCCCAATGTTGTACCATATATTTTTATTTCTAAATGTAGTACCACTGTACTGTTCAATGTCCACTGGTCATTGTTCAAGTAAATATGCAGCGTCACTGGACATTGTTGAAACTAATGTCCACTATCACTTATATTGTGTCCGCCACTAGATATTATTCAAGTATTATTTAGAAAATAAAAAAGTTTAAGTACTACATTGGCAGAAAACATCTCTCTTAGTACTTTTTACTGTAAATTTCGCCAAGTATATATCAGTTGAAAAAGAAGTATGCTCCGTATAATATTCATGTAATCATGTACTTAGAATTGTATTATAAAATAACTCATTAAAGAGCATTAACATACACTTCAACACATACTAGTATTACATAAACCATTTTTATAGAGAGTTCAAATTAACTTGAGATATGGGGGATAAAATTAATTACTTGTGACCATTGTTTCCTTTGCCGGAGTTATTGTCTCGACCATCAATTGTCGCATTTTTTTTTAATCTCAAGACACACAAAGACGCAAACTATGGCCAAAAGCACGCAAATTAGGACCAAAATGTGACTTAGCCTTGACCATTCTTGGGTCAGGTTGGCTAGGAAACCTGCTTGGCAAGAAGAACAATAGTAGCAAAGCTCGGTCTGGTTGTTGGTCCACGACAGACAATCTCGACTTGCTCCCGTGTTGTTTGGGTTAAACCAATATGTTGGGTTCACATATTGGTACCCACATTCCTTTGGTGGCAAACAACATGTCAACATCCCCTCTGTCCATTCAATACATGAATTTAATTCTTGTTCTGTCTGTCACGTAAAATATTTTTTATTTTTCTTTTCATACGTTGTAAATAAAATCTTCATCTATCGATTAAGGAAACCTAAAAAACGACAAGGAAACGTACATTTGACATCGCTTTTGACACCATGCATAGTGTTTAACTCACTATCTGACAACTCACAAAGATAATGATTGCTCACTCTGTTCTCAAAAATACTTCTTCTTTTATTTTTTCCACTTCCAACAAAACACTTCCATTATCTATTACTCCCTCCGTTCTCAAAAACACTTCCTCTTTCATTTTTTTCACTTCCAACAAAACACTTCCCCTTTCTATTAAAAAACCACTTTTACCCTTACTTTTTCATACCCTACTTATCACATCATACTTTTTCTCTAATAATCAATCCATCACATCTTACTTTTACCCATCACATCAGGGGCAAAATTGGAAGTCAACTATAATTTTACCCCAAAAACCCCGCATTAGTATGATATTGTCCGCTCTGGGTCAAGCCCTCACGGATTTATTTTTGGGCATCTCTCAAAAGGCCTCATACTAATGGGGTTGGGTGAACCTATATATTTTGGTTCATTTACTCATATACTTCCGGTGTGGGACTTGGAGGAATCCCAACAAACCTCCCCTTCAACCAAGGACCACACAACTTCCGACCTCCCCTCCAGCGGTAATCCATTTTTTTCTTTTTTTATCTGCTAACCATCTTGCACCGCCGCACACTCTTCGCGGGACACGCCGCCCGACCTCCTGTCGGGAAGACTTTCGACGCAAGGCTCGAACCGCAGATCTTTCCTTCGCAGGGCTACACCATTTGATCCGCCAAATCATCTTGTACCGCCGTGGCTATAACTTTATGGGACACGCCGCCCGACCTTCTCTCGTCGGGAAGACTTTCGACACAAGGCACCACATGCGGATCCTCTTTCTTAGTCTTGATCCTATTGTTACACCGTCACACCGAGGTTTTTCCACACTGCACAGTCCGCTGCTCACGCCCGCAAGAACCTGGGCTTTAATACCACATGTTGGGACTGCGTGTGCCCTCACCCCAACCCCGCATTAGTATGATATTGTCCGCTCTGGGCCAAGCCTCACGGATTTGTTTTTGGGCATCTCCCAAAAGGCCGCATATTAATGGGGTTGAGTGAACCTATATATTTTGGTTCATTTAGTCATATACTTCGGGTATATTACGTGAAGGGGGTAAAATGAGGAAGGGCATTAAAGAAATCTTGAGGAATGCGGTATTTCTGGCTGAAGACCCAAGGCAACGACTTGTGATCTCATACCACCTCTCCGCATTTCCAACCCTCCGGCAAAGCCAGCCGGAGTAGTCGTCCAACCTGCGGTCCCCGCTCTGCGACCATGAAAGCCGGCCGCCGACCCCAAAAGCAAGAGGACGACAAAAACCACTGGGGCCAAGTAGGAGATGAGCTGGCACCGGACATCACCGGAGAGTCCGCCTGCGATTCCTGCGACGAGAGTGCATCCAAATGCCGCGCAGAGAATCCGGGCGGCGGGCGTGGTGATGGCCGGGAACATCTTCAAGTTGCAGGGGTATTCTTGTCTTTTGGCAACCCATTGAAATATGAACCAAAAGATGATCATCAGAACCAGCACTGTTGCAATGTTGGTACACACAATGCGGTTGTTAGTCTTCTTCGCCATTTGATTGGGAAAATATGAAGAAGAAAAAAATGGGTTTTTTTTAGTGGAAAAAGATGGAAATGAAAATGGGCAAGCGGTAAAAAAAAATTGGGGTAAAGTTGGGATGGAAAAGGGGTTGTGGGCCCTATAAGTTAGACTTCTAATAACCTTATTATGATGACATACTTGGGGTAATACATTTTTACTTGTCTCAACTCTCAAAGGTAAGTCTCCATTGCAAAAAAGGTGAGTAAATAAACTTTGCTCGGACAAGGCGAGTACATTTCAATTTATTTTCGTTCAAATAACGATAATGTCGATACGACGATAGCTTGTTTAAACCTAGCGTAGTTATTTTAAGAAATGCCATTGTCGTTTCGAATTAATCATATTAGCCCATAAGTCATCGGTCATTTTTTGTTAACTAATTTTCGTTCATCACTTGTTAATTAAAATGACGTACCCATATATATCGATATCACTCGTTTTATGAAGATTATGATTCGGCTTTTTAATGATGAATGATTTAAATAAATATGTTATCTTGAATTTAAAACGAACTTAGTCAGGTCTTGTTATAAGAGATAATTAATTTTTGATGGAATAAAATTCATATCATCTTATTTGTTAGTTAATGTGATCCTCAGTTAAATACCTAAATAATACTCCGTATATGTATATTTTGTTAATATAACAGGTTTATGTCAATGGGCCGAGCCTGTGTGCCCCCAAGCGCTATGTCTATGAAAAGCACAAATACTGCATTCAATAATTTAAAGCCCATATAAGTACCGGTCACTACAGTATATTCCATGGGTTGTATAAGGCTTTTGTATGGGCCTCCACATTTGAGATCAATATGATCTATTTAGCACTTATTCTATGGAGAATTTGATATAACTTTTAATATATTAATTTCATTTTAAAATTTTGTATTATTATTTAAATAAATTGGATTTAAAATGAATTTTTTCAAGAATAGTTATATGTAAATAGATCATTATTTTAGGAGCGAATGAATATATGTCCAAGAAAGTCCTACAACTCAGCCCTTTAGTAGGAAAAGCATGTCTGAAAAACATTAATTATTAAAGAAAAAATGTCACGTTTTGTTCGACCTAAACTAATCAAAAACATGATCTTCATTTTTCACTAACTACAAACTAAATATTCATGTACCAAGCCATTGTGGCATTGTATATTACTCTCTCTGTCTCATATTTTTCTTCTTATTTTGATTTTTGTGGTCAATATTTTTTGAACTTTAACAAAAATTATTTTTCTTCAATTCACACCTAACAAGTCACATCTTTTTCCCAAAGTGAAATGGACAATGTCATGTGCATAAATTCTTTGGGTATGTGACCAAAAATTTTAACTACAACTTAAAAAAGCTCAATCAATTATGAAAGGCAAGTGATTGTCTTGATGTTTAAAAATGTGATGACTATCCCCATTCCTCTATTGAAGTAACAAGCAAGAATGGTTTGGATTTACTCTCCCCATATATATGGTCCATGCATCTACACTTTAGATTTAATTTTTCCCATTTTGCGCCTAAAGGTTATTCCACATATGAGACACAATATCTCATTTTTAGCAATTAAAATTTTTAATCTATTTTGTTCGGAGTTATATAATATATCTCTAATCGCACAATATAATCATTTTAATTTGCATCTCCTTTGCCACATATTTGAAAATTATGTACTCTCATCATTTGTAACACACAATTTTTTCTGTTTTCTTTTTTTTTAAAATAAAAATTACACTTTTACAGAGTACTCAATCCGTCTCAAAATAATTTAATCTTTCGAATTTATACGAACTTAAGTTTGACCATTGATCACATAGAAGTTACATTGCGTAGATAAATATACATTGATTAAATAATTTGAATGTTTAATTTTTCAACAATTTAAATTTAACGAAATTATTCTATATTCATCTCTAACCTAATTTCAATTTAATTAATTAATTATCAAAGCCTGGAAAAAATTAAACTCAAATCAAATAAATACATGTAATTATATTATATTTTCTTTTACTCTTGCTTAACTTGTTGCTACCATTGATTTGATTAAATATATAGCTGCAGAATTTATTTTTAAAATAAAAAAATGAAGAAAAAAAAACAGAAACCCTAGTAAGTCAACATTGGGAAGAAGAGGAAGATGGATGTGGTGAAATGATGTTACAGTGAAAGCTAGTGGGAGGAGAAGAGTTTACTGCACGCAGTAAAAATAATTAAGAGGGATGGGGTAATTCCTCTTGTGTTAATCCGATGAGGACGTGGTGGACTCCCCATGCTATTGCATCTGCAGATTGTAGCTGGCAACCCCCTTCCACCTGCACGTTCAATATTTTTTTTATTACCATTTTATATTGAAAAATGCTAGGGGTACACCAAAGGTGAACCCCAAATATCCCCCACCCCCTCCTTGTCCACTAAAAAGGGTAAAAAAATTCAAAAACAAAATAAGTAAATAAAAATCAAATAAAAATGTGTGGATGAAAAGAGTATGGTGTACATTTGGGGTACACCTTTTTGTGTACCCCTAGCATTACTCTTTTATATTTACCTTAGCTTAATTATACACTCACTATATAGGGGGCAGTAAAAAAATTACTTTGGGCCAAAACAAAGAAAGTGTAATTTTGGTTGACTTTTCAATTTTGCTTCTGATGTGATGGGTAAAAGTAAGATGTGATAGTTTGGTTATTAGTGAAAAAGTATGATGTGATAGGTATGATATGAAAAAATATGGGTAAAAGTTATTTTTAATAGAAAGTGGAAGTATTTTAGGGAATTGAAAAAACGAAATACTCCGTATTAAAATACATAATGAAAACATATATGCAAAAAATAAATGTGCAAAATGAATATGGTGTAATTAATAAATTATTATAACATTTTGATCATTAATATCTCTATTATTAAATAAATATAAAATTTAAAACTATGATATTTTAAAATTATATTTCAAAATTTTTTTAAAAAAAATTTGTAGTTAAAAGAAAGATATTACTCCCTCCGTCCCATAAAGTATTACTTATTTTGACTAAAGTTGAAATTAAGGGAGGGATAATTTTGTGTTGACTTTCCAAAAATACCCTTGATGTGATGGGTAAAAGTAGGATGTGATGTGTAGATTATTATGAAAAAGGTATGATGTGATAGGTAGGGTTTGAAAAAGTAAAGGGTAAAAATGGTTTTTTAATAGAAATAGGTAAGGGATTGTGGGACGCAATTTTTTTGAAAAGTGTAAATTTTTTTTGGGACGGAGGGAGTATATGGGAGGGGGCAAAAGTACCTTAGCACTGATAGAATAGAGAACCAAGGGATGGAAGGTGGTGACATTGAGGTGAAGAACAGACATATGCAATCCCTCAAACGCCGCCACCAATTTCGACACTTGCCGGCCGCCGCCGCCTCTCCTCCACCGGATTCGAACGTTTGCATGCGTTTCCACCAACGTCACTTCAATGTCCGCCGCCGTGCCTTTTGCCGTTGTGTACTGCGGGTGGGCAAAGAATTGTGAGAATGGCGGCGGCGTAGTCTCTCCCGGTGCCTCTGGGGGAGGCGTGGCCGCGTCTGTCTCCGTGGTTGCTCCGCCGCCGCCGCCGCCGAGTCGGAGCTTTTGAGCTTCTAGTAATTGCAAGTGGTGTTCCAACTCCTTCACAAATTCTATAGCTCCACCCACTATTGACGCCTGGTCACCCTTCACCACCACATATAATGTGTTTCAATGCTATAGGGTTTTAATATATATTCCATAATTAATGTCTAATTTTTTTTATTTTCCAAATTCTTCTTTATTTTATAGTAGGATGAGACTAAAAGTTATAATTAGTTAAAAGTTATAATTAGTTAAATTAATACTCCGTGATAAGTAAGTTAAAAGTTAGTAAAATAAAAAAGAAATCACCTTAAATGACTAAAACGTAAAGAAAGTATCAAAATAGTAATTATATATTTTTATTTCTTAAATAAGAGCTCGCACTGTGGTAATATAGCACTGTACATGCGTATTTTACTACTCTCTCTGTCCACCATAGATCTTTCCAGACACTATTCACAGGGTCAAACTTAACTCACTTTGTTTGCTCAATTTTACTAGTCATTTCATAAAATAATATAATCTTGTCACCTCTAGTTTTGTAGAACTTTTCATGTAGTTTATTACTATATAAATTTTATTTTAAAATTTTACTCCTATAATCAATTAAATTGAATTGAAAATAAAGTGAGTCAAACCTCGTAACGCGTAATGGGAAGATCATACATGGACGGAGGGAGTATTTTTTAAATAATGTACATGATTAGATTAGTATTGTAAATGCATCTTAACTCCAATTTCGTGAATTAAAAATTAAATTAATATTTTGATATATTTTCAATATTTTACTCTTACTTTAGTTTTTTTTACCAAAATAAAACTAAAAGAGATTATAATTGAAGGGAGAAGTGTTTTCAGTGACAAGCAAAAGGTAAAATGGAAAGGTTTTTTTTTTTTGAAGAAAAGTGTTTAGCATTATTTTTATTTAAACGGAGTAAGTAATAATTACCCTTTGAGAGTAGGATTCCGGCATGAGGGAGCGGAGGACGGCGAGATGTTCATTCATCAACTTACGGCGGTTTCTCTCGACGGCAATGTGAGTCATCCGCTGAGTCTCCGCCTCCTCTTTATTCTTACACACCTTCGGCCTCCTCCTCCGCTTCCTCCGGCCACCGCCTGCCGCCTCGTACCCCTCTCCCTCCCACGCGATCACCGAGTCGATCGTCCGCCTTGGACGCAGCATGACGGAGCGGCCGCCGATGCGGAAATCTGATGAGCAGATGGCGGGCAATGCGGTGGCGGCGCACGGCGGTGTATGGTGGTTGAAGATGTCATTTGCGGTGGAAAGTGGTGCTTCCAAAGCCATTGTTTTTATATATGGATATAATACGAGTAGAAAACAAATGGTGCTTCAATTCAATTCTTCTCTATATATTGGGTGCTAACACCAATTCTTTTTTGTAAATACTACCAATTTTGACCAAGTGTAAAAATAATGAAGTGTTAAATTGTAGTTGACTTCCAATTTTTCTCTTGATGTGATGAGTAAAAGTAAGATATGGTGGATAGATTATTAGAGAAAAAATATGATGTAATATGTAAGGTATGAAAAAGTAAGGGTAAAAGTAATTTTTTTAATAGAAAGTGGAAGTGTTTTGTTTGAATTGGAAAAAAATGAAAGAAAAAGTTTTTTAAGAATAGAGAAAGTACTCTATATCTAAAAATAAGATTATTCTCGTTCGCATATTATTTATATTGTCAAATTATATCTACTTTTTACACGTTTATAATGATCTTATGATAATTGAAAAAAAATAGTCAAGTCGCATTTATTTAAATTTTTATTTTTTTTTTTAAATTTTTGAATTTTTTTGTTTGTTCTTAAATAAATTTCTCATTTTTTAATAAAAAAATGAACAAGTGGCTTACTCTGTCTTTTTTTTTCGAAAATATTTTCTCTTTCATTCTTTTCTTTCACAAAAATACTTCTATTTTTACTAGAAAATTACTTTTACCCATAATAATTTTTATCCTATTTATCACATCATTTATTTTTACTAATAATTTATGATTCATCACATTTTACTTTAACCCATGTTATTAAAAGAAATATTAAAAAGTAAAATAAAAATATACACTTTTTATTTTTCTCATTAGTCAAAATAGGAACCGTTTTGATGAACGGAGAGAGTACAATATCTATCTCACCTCCAAACAACTCTAAAAAGGGTTAAAAGTTACGCCCTTGACATAGGTTAATATTTATGAGCTTTTTGCGAATAGAGGTAAAAAAAACAGCATGAAAGATAGGCTAGGAGCAAAATGTAAAAATCCATTAAATTTTGATATTTATTTGACTCTCATTATCGTAAAAACCATTAAATTTTGATAATTATTACAACAGTGCTCATTTCAATGCGGAATATTGAAATTGTGCAATGCATACATATATGTATGTGTGTTGAGAATTATATACATCCTCATATTACACTCTATGCTTTATCCCAATCACATTCCATCAAAGACATATCAGGCCGGAGACAAATTAGAAATTCCATCTCTTTGATAAAATTTATCATAATTTGTGTGAAGTCAAACACAAATTCTAATTGTGATATCAATTTTGATATATATCACTTTTATAATGGATATTTACAAACATGAAATAACGCAAGGATCTATATAAATAAATAAATATATATATATATGAAAATATATATATAAGAAGGTAGTGACAAGATGATTAGGTTAAAATTGGGGTTATCCCTAACATATTTGTGTATGAACAATATACAAATGGTACGTAGTGGTCCGGGGGACTTAGAAAAAAATGAAGGAGAAATGCCCCCACACTAGTGTGTGTATAGGAGTGCTCCCCAATTTTTTTTTGTTTGGCTACATACCCTTTTTAAGACAAATGTCCTCAGGACTGCCCTCCATATATATCATGCATGCTGTCTTTGCANCCCCCCCCCCCCACCCACCCCAACCAAATGAAATAATAAAATAAAATAAAAAGACAAGTTTTTTGGGCAATATATTAGACAAATTTTTATTTGTGACAAAAACTTAATTTTGGCATCAAATTAAAGGTAAACACACAAACACTAACAAATATTTCTGCACAGTCAATTACTACTATCTGTATTTCTTTTTAGTACTCCCTATTAAAACATAGTGTCACAAGTGGGATTCCCAAACTTTTTCCTCTTTTTTTTTTTATTTTTCCCCATGGTCTATTTATATATATAAAAAACCAGACTACCGTTTTGACAGTACACCCTGCTGCTGCAGATGCTTACCCCAAAACTCCAAAACCTACTGCTACTCTGCACGTTCCACTCCTATATATATATATATATATATATATATATATAGACACACACACATACACATACACACACACTAGAAAGGAGACAATATTTTAAATTGCTCTAATTTTATTTAGTTTTTAACTGATCTGAAATTGGAAAGATGCCAAGAAATTGCCGAAGCTAACTCACCGCTCCCATCTGCCACACTTCCCTGTGTAAAACACTCAACTCATTCTAACAAAAAAAATCAGGGTATTGTCGAGTCCAACTTGTTTCAATTGTCGTTGTTTCACCTTAATCAAACTTCTATATCTTCTCTTCCCAAAAGTCAAAACCGAAAAAATTTTCCGGGACGGGGGGGAGTATTAACGTTAGTGTAGATTTAGCAAATCTAAGTGAAAGCAGTGGATATAATCATTTTTGGGGTGGATTTAGCAACACTCTTTTAGAATTATTCTACACTATTAAAGTTTTATCTAAAACATTCACGCTAATCGAAAATGATGTTCCCAAACAAGGCCTTCCTCCGTCTATAGTATTTTCCAATTTAACTTTTTTCAGTCAACCTAGCTTTAACAAATTGATAATCAAAGAGTCAATATTTTCCAATTTGACTTCATTTCATATAAAAAATAATCTAACTGAAAAATATAAATATGATAAAATCTATTGTATAAAAAATTATAGTAAGAATAGCTCCACTGTGTGTGTATGTGTGCCCTTTAAATCAATGGAGCTGAATGAAGAATATATGAATTTAGATGATAGGCCTTACATCTCATAAATGCACTATTATGAGAAAGACATAACAAGGAATCACTTTAGTCACTCCAAAGGATCAAATTCTTGTTTCATTTATTCAGCACTCCCAAATCTCCCAGTTAAGATCAGGGTTATCTCTTTAACATCTTTATCCTGTTAATGTGCCTAACACTACTATTCAACACATGTGTATTATAACAATAATAATAATTACGGAGTATTATTATTTAGTATTATTTGAGCAATAATAATAAGCATGGAACAAAACATCAAACAAGGCAGAACCCGAAAAAAATGCAGAACCCAAGATTTCTAGCATAATAATTAATCTTATGCATTTTGAATCACTACTACTACACAGTACATACTCCTTTTGCAATTTGCACTAAACAAGCATTTAATATACAGTGTTTCATTGACTTCATTTTGTTTTGTGCCACAAATCTCAGTCCTAAATAAATAAAAGCTAAGTACTTATTAACCAAATACTCCGTATAAATTAGTGCATACCTTTTCCGGCAAAACCATTAATTAAGCTTCAACCTATTCTTCATGATCTGCAAAGCTTGCCATATACTCCAGAGACGGTTTAGCTTCTTTCACGTCAAAAAAAGGAATGCTAATAACAACAGATAATCAATGTTCAAAAACTGCAAAGGACGCAAATGAAAGACAATAGCTGCCCATTCTTGCTATGCTTATTTTGTTTATCTGTTCAAAATTTTGTTAAAAGATTTCTAAATAAGGAAGGCCATGGTAACAAGGCATATGTTTTGCTAATGAGTTTTCAAGCAACATAATAATGATGCTGAAAACTAGAAACTGTATAATGAGAGAGGAATATTGTGAGCCAAATGTTCATTGCTAGAAAAAAGGAAATAAAGTGAAGAGTGTCTTTTGGGATGTCCAGAAAAGGGGAATGGAAAAAGTTTTTTAAGACGAAGAGAGTATTCAACAATAACGATGGGTTCAGCTCGTCAAATCTGACCGACCAACCAGCCCATCGCTCATCCTCAGACATGACCATAACGGCAGCCGCGGACCGCGGTTACAACTTTTTATGCATAACCTTTGTTCTGGCACTTAATGGATGTATGAATGTAGGCTTCACTATTTCTATAGGCAAGGAGACAACTCTCAGCTATTTCCATATGATTTTTTCTCCACTTCAAATTTGCTACCTCATTAAGGAACTTATCTTATGTTTAAATGAAATCTTATGCAATACAGTTTTACAAGCAATAACTTCAGTTTACCTTACAAGATAGGGAAGCATATATAACACCTTTTCCAAAACAGTTAGACTTTCATGTTCTAGCAAGTTACTAATGAAGAGCTGTGGGGAAACTATTCTTAACATGCCCATTACTGACTAGGAGTGACTACTTTCCCATTTTCATCGCATATCCCTTTTTTGATACTTCTCATTACAGAGTTACTCAAAAGTTCACAACGCATGGGACAAATAGTTCATCATTCTGAAAGAATCCAATTAATCTACAACAGTAAGTCTAATAACATTAGCCAATGAAAACCTGAATGCAAATCAGCTCTTGCGCACTTGCGGAAGCATACCTCACACCTGTTTTAACAATTTGCAGTAAAAAAGTGTTATCAAACATAGCGAAGAGTGCTAAAATGGAAGCAGATTTCTTTTGAATAAAATTCATCTGACCACAAATGAGCTGATCAGCAGGGCAACTATGCACCCATGACTTAAAAGTAGTCAATTGGAATGGTAATTTGCCCAATAATATAGCAACAATAGGGATGCTTTCTTTAGCAGTAATTTACCTGCATATAGAGAGGAATGGAGATCTCTTGTACCACATTGTGTACCAAACACATGTGAAGAATGGTAATTTGCCCAATAATTATTTAATATTTTTTAGATCCTCACTCTATAGGAAGAAGGGATATCTCCTGTGCAATCCCCTATGGAGACAGAGAAAGCTGATTAAGGCCCTGAAGTGAGAAAACTAATAACTATATGTTGATTTAGTGTAAATACACACTGCTCATGGACAGAGTCGTGTATTTAACTCCTTATCTATTATGTCACAGCATAAAGGAGATCTAAGGTTCTGAGGTCTTTTAACTTTTTGTACAATACCATAAGAGTCTTTTGGATGAAGGGTTTTGGAGGGCTAAATATATACCTTCATATTTTATTGAAAAAATAATAATGAGATCATAGAATTGAAGGAGTTCATATAACATGTCAATCACCTTTAATTCGTTTTCAAAACATTTTATTTGTCATGATATAGACTAAGTCATATAAAGCTTTCCCCCCTCCAAACTCATCCATCAAAAGTGATCCTAAGAGATTAAGAGGCTAATGGTGACAGAAAACAACAGGTAAATCCAATGGCTAAGGAACTAGCATTTCATGCAATAGCTCACAACCAAAATTCACATTTCAAGTTCCTCATGTCACAGAAGTTCACATCTTGCTTTCCTTTTTACCAGAGTAACTCAAACCGATTTGTGTCATCCAAAGGCATGCAATAAAACGAGGGGGGGGGGGGGGGTTACTAAATAAGATCTAAATGTATAAGGTAAGAAATTTATAGTATTTCCCAGGCCTATTAAGAATATAACCATGCATAAAAAGAAGAATTTACAAAAATCAAGATTTCACCTTTGAGAGATACGAATCTTATTAGAGGTCTTTAAAGCCAATTCATCAGAAAGGTGAAGGAAAGGGATCCACGCATTTGGCTAAGAACATAGGCCATAACATCCATTTTCGCACGAAGTGACACATGCAACTTAGATGAATAACAAAGAAAAACACGAAATCTGATTTACAACCAGCAAAATCCAATTATCAAAGTTACCAAAGGCAGAGTATTAAGATATTTTTTGAGCGAGGAAATACATTTTCATTTTGAATTAAAACTTAGCTTTCCTAGAGAAAGAGTATTTGCAAAGCAGCTATCTCCCACTTCAAAGATGGAAATAACAAAGAAAAACACGAAATCTGATTTACAACCAGCAAAATCCAATTATCAAAGTTACCAAAGGCAGAGTATTAAGATATTTTCTGAGCGAGGAAATACATTTTCATTTTGAATTAAAACTTAGCTTTCCTAGAGAAAGAGTATTTGCAAAGCAGCTATCTCCCACTTCAAAGATGGAATTGTACATTTTCAACAAGTTCTTTCATGGGGGCGGAACAAAGCCAAGAGCCTAGTTATTACTACCTCTTCTCTACCTAAAAAGAGAAAAACTGCCAACCAAGCGAAAGATCACTGTTTTTTATCAAACTTTTCTGGCCAAACCTTCAGGGTTTGCAAAAGGCCCGTTCCATATCCTCACACCTCGATAGGATTCTCCTTCTCCTCCCCCCTCTTAAGTGGTGAAATGGGTAATGTCACCTCGGCATCCTCATATCCAGTGTTTCCAACCAGCATCCTCATCTCATTCTCAAGCCCAAACCTGAAACCTTCGGAGCTTTTGTCTTTCTTATTACTCAAGACATCCCAGAAAAATTCAGTCATGACAGACTCATAATTAGGCATCTTCGCATACCCAGGGAAGTAGTTAATGTCAATAACAAGGTACCTATTACCGACCTTGTTGTCCCTAATCACGTCGAAATTGAAAAGATGAAGCTTTGTTTCTCTTCTAAGCCCTCTGGCTATTTCAGTGAGGAAACTCAATGGTGGCAACTCAGCATCCTCCAAGTTCATCATCTTGCAGTACTTGTCATGGTTTTTCTCATCGGTGCGACAGTTAGAGACCTGGGAAAATGAGAAGTAACCCTCAAGACACCCTAAGTTGTCTTCATTGACATCAGGTAAGGACTTCCTCTTGACACATTTCACATAATCCCCAACGACGTAGACCTTGAAGATGACGGCCCCATGATTGACGAACTCCTGAAGAACAATGGGGGGCTTGAGCTTGCAAAGCCCGTCCTGGTTGAAGACAAGGAGCATCTTGTGTGATTTGGCGCTTCCGTCAGCCACTAGGGGTTTGGCAATCACTGGGAACTTGAGACCTTCGTTCTCCATCTTCAGAGCAGAAACCATTTGGGCATCGTAGATCACGGTCTGCTTGGGAATGCCCAGGGACGCCACCTGGCAGTCGATCTCAACCTGCGAGACGATCTGGAGCATGGAGATACGGTTGTGCAGGCGCTGGATGGCCTCCGGGGAGTCGATGATGAGGGCATTAGGGTTCCGGGAAGCGAACTCCTCCAGCTGGCGCCTCCAATCGTCGCCGTAAAGCTTGTGGAGAACGCAATCGAAGGGCCCCTGATCCGCCAGCGGCTTCTCGGCGTCGATCTGGATGAGATCGATCCCCTTCTCCCTCGCAAGATTCACCAGAGACGTCTGAATGAAACTGGCCTGCTTCTTCCGCGCCAAGGCGTAACCCACTCCGAACCTCCCCGTTCGCTCCGCCATTCACACCAATTCAAAATCCCTTCTTTCTGGGTAAACAAGAATCACCCAAAACCAACCAACCCCCCAAAAAAAAAACTCAAAATCCGCCAAGAATTTGCTGCGAAAAAACCCGAACCCACATTACAAGAATCCAAAAAGAAAGAAATACACTAAAGAACTAGGGTTTATAAATCTGGGATTACAATCAAATGGGGGAATACGTTTCTCTGGTATAGGTGTCAGTGCGGGAAGGCGTGTATGGGTTCGTCAAGGATACGCCAGAGAGAGTGTATACGTAGAAATGGAATGGATCCGTGCGTATTTATAATAGTAACAATACGCATACATAGTGTATATGTATACGGAGTATATGCTCTGTATGGGTGCAAATTGGGTTGGAGATGGAGGTCGTCGTCGGGTTAGGGTTCGATGACAGCGGGTCGAGAATTGGGATCCTACGTGGCACCCCCACCATCCGGATTCCGAGGAAAAAGCCATGACAGCTCTGGTGGACAAGAAAATGAGACAAATGGTTGCATTAAATCTACGCAATATGATCTCTATGTTTAAAATGCTCGGGTCAAAATTCGAAGCTAAATATGACACTAATCAAAATTTCTAGAAAAATGCTCGAGTCAAAAAGAAAGAAAAAAACCCACACAATGTACAAATTTACCATTTTTGAAGCTACTAAAAGAATACATCGCCATGGCGAAACTGGGCTGGTCAACGAAGTAGTGTTGTAGGAGGGAAGCTCGAGTTTGCCTCTTGGTGTTGACGATGAAGAATTATTATGTCATGCATGGAATTTTTATATGTACTAAAGACAAATTTAATTTCTCTTAGGCCCCGTTTGGTACACGGAATTCAAATTATGGAATTGGAATTGAGGATTTCAATTCCAATTCTGGTGTTTGGTAGCACAAAAATTATGTGGATTTGGAATTGATAGTGCAAAAAATGAATTGGAATTGGCAGAAATCAATTCTATGGAATTGAATCCCATGGAATTCAATTCCAATTCCATCAATTCCGTATACCAAACGGACTCTTAATCAAATTAAGATCATAGCTTAACGTAGCACATTCCACTATGTTGTTTAGGTCGATATTGAGGAAAATTGAAGATTGGTTTTCAACTTTTTTTACTACTAAAATAAAAAAAATATGCTTAATTATTTTTTTTAAAAAAAATTAATATTTACAAATAACAAATGAATAAATTTTTACAACTACTCCGTATTATACTTGTGACTTTAACATTTCTCAAATTTCTACATCTCTTTGCAGGTCTCCTCCGCCAAACAACCATTTTCTTTCTCCCAAGCCAATTTCAAACTCAAAAAAGATATGATATCCCCTAATTTGAGGACCATGTTTTTAAACTCCCTTTTGCCTTCTTTTTTTTTTACCTCTTTTGATTTTGAAAATAAAAACGAAAGAAGACTGACTGTTCCCTTGGTTTAGGGTACTCCCTTACATCACATACTAACCATTTTCAAGCTCCAAAAAAAGATTAATCAGACTTCAAAAGGTACCTGAGTACATGTCAGAAAATTTCTTGAGAATATATAAGTGAATTACGATCTTTGTTTGCTACATGTAAATAAGAAGCCTATTTCACTTTTAATAAAAGAATAACATGTTTAACATGATTGTCCTTCATCGTCCTTTTCGGGTATATTGTTTGATTTGGGAGCCAGGCTACAGCCCCTTTAATTTCCATCACCTTGCCTTTTTGTTTCATTTTTCAGATTGTCTTTCTACATTTGAAGAGACTTTTTACTCTTTTCATTGACTTGACTCCAATTTTAATTGCGCGTTGATGGATTTTTAATGCCAAGTCCCACTTTTTCGATTCCAATGTGAGGTAAAAAATCTATTTTAACTTGGGATTGAAATTGTCTTTGTAGTTTGACTTGATATGTTTATTACCGGTATTTCTTTCATTTCAAAATTATGTTCTGGATTTTTTAGACTAAAAATTGAAAAATTTTGACATTAAAATTCAGAAAAAATTGTATTTCTTACATAAATCAATATTTGAAATATCACTTCTTTTATTCAAAAAAAATATTACTTCATAATCCATAAATATAGACATTAATGAGCAAAGTGTTATACTATAGGCCAGTCTCACAACGGTTTTACTCTTTGTGCTTCTGCTTATGTTAAAGTCATCAACCACTTCTTTCAAAATCCCTCTCTAAGCCGTTCTTTGTTAGCTTTTTGTCCTTTTTTTGTTGCTCTATAGAAAAATCTATAGAACGAAAACTCTTACACGATTATATTATGTTATCAAATATTCAATAAAAACACATAAATAATTTTCAAAAAAAATAAAAACACATAAATAAATACGGAGTACGAATTATCATGTTCCTAAAATAATACTCCGTGTAACTGAGAATTGTATTTTATCATCAAATGTCAATAAAACAATACTCGTATATAGAAATATAAGTTATCATCATCCTGAAATAGTAACTCAAGATTTTGTCAAGTGTCAATATAAATGTTAATTAAAACATTTCCAAACTCCTAGCCCACATCCATATGATAGTACACAATGAACTTCCCTATCCGAATTTTCTAGCCTTTGTGTGCCTCTTACCTGAACTTGGGGTACGGTTTTCCAGCTTCCGTTTGGTCCCGTGGTGGCCGCCACCAGCGGCGGCAGCAGCAGCATTACTGAGTTCTCTTGCCTTTCTGGCGGCAACCGCCGGCCTCTTGGTTTGTCTCTTCTTCCTATCCTGTGACTTTGGTTTGAACTTTGGCTGATCCCCGGCGGTTTTAGGGCGGGACCTCTTCTGGCCGCTAGTGGGCTTATTTGCCCTCATACCCTGGTAGGATAGAGAAGAAGAAGAAGCCTTTTCAGGTCTCTGGCCTCCTGGAGACCACTTTGTTGGAGTAGGGTTAGTATCGTCATTTGGATTCTTTCTCTTTGACGGGGTTACATTTCCCTTGGCATGAGAGAGTCTCAGCTCCCGATCCCGTAACTTCAGATGCTTCTTGACAACAAGATTTGCAGCTTCCTGTTGTTTGTAAGCACAAAAAGTATGCTGTGCTTCAGAACTGTGAAATATATATGCTGCTTGTTTGTTCGCTAATAAATTATGGCCTTGTTTGGGAACAACTTTTGCAAATACTGTAGCATTTTGGATAACTTTTTCAATAATACTCCGTAATAAAGATTAACTTTGATAATGCCAAAGCTAAATGCTGCTGCCATTACATAGTCTTTTCAAAACGCAAGAGTTGTAGCAAAACGGGCACTCTATATGATCGGTGTCTACAGTGTTTGTCATGGTTGTTAAATAATGGAATTACAGTTAAAAACAGACTTTGAATGCATAAGAAGAAAAAGAAGAAGAAGAAGAAAAACATACCCTTGTTTTAAATAAGACATAAGCAAAACCTTTTCCCAAATGTGTATTGGGGTCTCTGATAACACGAACAGCTTCCACAATTGTATCCTGAGTTTGAGTTTTAATACCACAGAGCAACTGATAGATTTCTTCATCCTTTAAGAATATGAAAATGAAAACAATTTTCAGAACCATTTTAGCTGCAAAAGAATAACACCAAAACAAGGCTGCGCTGCCATAGTTCTCCCCCTCACAAGGTAGGAAATGAAGGAGCAACTTTTGTTTTGGTAAGATACGATTCTTAAAATATTATGAATACTTTTATTGAAGACTAAACATATTGCCCAAGTCTTGTCAGATGTACTACTTTTCACCAAACACATGCTGAAAAATCAGCAAGCAGCCGTTATTAAAAAAAATAAAACAATGCACAAGTTCTATTTCTGGGAGGAATGGTATAAATTAAGAAAATAGACACACCTCAACCTTCATTTTTGTGTACCATTTATTTTAATTACATAAAAATTGTTTAGCACTATGTTTGGTTCAAGGAATTTGAAAGGGAAAAGAAAAGAAAATGAAGTGGAAAACAGTTTTTCAAGTTTGGTTGGGGAGGAAAAGTGCTAAGAAAAAGAAAATGAGAAGACAAATGTACTAAGTGGAGGAAAACCAAATTCCTCCCATTTTGGTGAGGAAAATGAGAGAAAATCAATTTCTTTTCTTTTCTTTCCTAAATCCTTGAACCAAACATAATGTAAATATTTCAGCAGATTTAGCCAATTCATTTCAACAAATTCGGTCATGACAGACCTTACATATGGGCTCTTAAATTGTTTGGAGCAATTTTTTTTAAAAATAACATCAAAATCAATGAAAAATATTTTCTTTCATTGAAACGAGAGTCCTCTATCGAGATACAAAAAAAATCAAGGAACAAGTCTTCATTTTTTAGGCATAGAGAGTATTATCGTATATAGTCTCCCTATTTCCAAGCAAGGGTATGGTCCGTGTACACACACCCTCCTCAAACCCTACTCTTGTTGGATTTTACAAGATTTGTTGTTCTTGTAGGGTGTATAATTCTACAAACATCCACATGCTAGAGAAACTTGCCTTAACATCAAAAGGGAGGTTGCCCACAAACAGTGTCCTTTTATTATCATACAAGGGTGCACTGTCTCCCTTTATCTTCTTCCTAGGAGGGCATGCCCTGTCCACCCGGATGTGATTTCCTTCTACCTACACCGACAATTCGTTAGTTACCTCTAATAATAAAAATGAACTGAAATATGCGTTTAATAAAATAATATGCATATCAGCAAACTATGTCAGAAATCAGCTAACCACTGTCATGTTATGTGCCAATGAAGCTTGGGCAGAGTCCTCACTTTTAAATACGATGTAAGCATGTACACTGCAATGTTAGACAAAATTGGTAAGAGTCCATTTGGATCATGGAGTATACTAGAAAAAGAAATAAGGAAAATATGGAGAAAAATCAAAGATAAAGAAAATGTTTATAAAAACAAAACATAACCTACAGATCAATAAGCTTGTTTTTTTAAAGGTCAGTTCTGCAATTCAGTTTTGCAGATGGCAAAAACAAACAACTGGGCATCTTCAAAGGCTAGGTGTCATCAAATCATAATCATTTTTTTCAATCTTCAGAGAATATGAAGGAATTATGACAAATGGTGAATTGCATTTCTTGGAGAGGTGAGAAAGACTGGCATGGGAAACAGAAAGGTACATGATATATCAACAAAAAATGGAGGGATAAATCCAGACACATTAGCAGATCACGAAGACTTCACAGTTTCCCATTTTTTGTAAACAACAAAACCAATGAGAGGTTGTTTCCAAGAGACCCGGCCGAGAGATAGAAGTATGAACAAAGAAATCAATGAAGCACAGGTGAAGTAGGAATAGGACAATAGAAGCATACTAAAAACTAGGCAAAAAG